CCATACAATTACTATACTTCACTGACATTACTATTCTTACGTGTTTCATGTGTTGGCGTCTTATCTTTCATCCACCTTATATTTTGACCATAAAAAAATTCCACAAGCAAAGGGACTTTGAGCTACACAGCAAACCTTGGTTATAATCTGGACTCTATGTATTGTTCCTGGTATAAAGAGCTTCATTTTCTTAGCTGTGATATTGTGCTGTGGAGTCTTATTAACATATTGTTATTTCTCATTACTGCAACAATGGATACAAATCACTGAAAAGGGATAAAAATAAATGTACGTGTGTGTGTGCGCATATCATCAGCAATGGATGACTGTTTAGGTTTATTTTTTAGATAAGGATGAACCCCACCTACGCTTTGGTGTCTATTCTCATTGACCTACTTAGGTTTGCCTCCAAGGTGTACTGGATCTTTCCCTTTGAGCCAGTGAAGGAGGATGGTAGCTCTCTGCCATGACAACATGCACCAAACAGATTGGCTGACTGTTATTAATACCGTCTATGGTTGATAATCACAAAGCATCAAGAGGAAGTACAATGTATAGCTACTAACACTGAGTGCAAAATGACAAATTCTTAGGAGAGAATTTTATTTATAATAAGAAATAACAAAGAACAAGCCTAAATGTGTTTTATAAATATTGCTCAGGCTGAATTTTAATTATTTAAAGAATGCACAGTGCAGGGATCTGAAAGGTGAGAGGGTAGACATGGCAGCTTTGGCCTACAATTTTATTGCCTGAAAAGCAATAAAGCAAAGTTACTTATGTGCCTTTCATCGTTGATTGTAATAGGATTTGTAAATCAGACCATAATACATACTAGTTCAGCATGGTTGTTTGAATAATCAGGATGACAAAAGTGTCAGAAAGTTACAGGACAACTCTTTTTATTATCATTGTTAAAAACATAAACACCTCATGTCAAGGCTTAGATTTTTTCTGCCATGTGTGTAGTTGTTTAGATGCTGGTGGTGAGATTTGTTGTTCATTGTATGACTTCACCACAAAAATTTATAAAAGGACACAATGTGACATTGTGGATATGCAAATACCCTTAATACCTATGTTATTTAAACTGTGATACAATCTACATGAGACACGAATTTTCAGATAATGTAAATCAATAGAAAAAGCTAAGTGCATTCATTCAAAATGTCACAGACGCAAAGTCAAGAGCACTACTCAAGAAATACGAGTCCGAAGATTCAAAAACTGAAGAAAACATTATTTTTTGGATTGTTCTGCATCGTTGTCAGTAAATGTGGTCCCTCCTTCATTACCATGGAGCCGCACCCTGGACTTTTCCACATTTGGACATTACAGAGCCAGGAAACTTTACCAAGACTGGCGCAAGGCCGGCACAATGTCGTTCACATAGATGAGTAACATTACAACCAGTGTTTTGTAGCTGCTGATGAGTTACAGTATTGTAGCACCACAGGTTTGTGTGTGTTTACATTAGGCGGTGTTCAAAGCGTTAATAGTTGTTGGACTGCACTTGTTTTGGTGTTTATAAATGTTCCTAACGTTAAACAAAGATATGTGAAATATACCACGGCTATGTTACATTTAGCTGCTGACCGTTTCATTATTGACATATGTCTATGTTGCATATGCCACAGTGTCCATAGCCTTTTCACTGATTGATGTTAATTTTTGCTTGCTTATGTGTCATTTTCTAATTGATTATAGTGAGGGTATATGTAGGAAGATGGTTGGTAGTCTATAGTTTACACAAGTGACTGGTTGCCCTTTTATAGGAATTGAGGTATGGGATGAGGGCCTGATAGTATGGTCTGCGCCCAGGTCACCCTGGTCTGCCATTGACTTACCCTAGTCTTCCTAAATGAAAAACTGCTTGATACTGAAGTACTTCCCTTTACTATAGTGTTTTACTTCAGTTGGCCTGTAACTTTGCATCCATTTGGCTTCTGCTTTTCCTTTCAGCTTTACATGGAGTGAAAATATTTTGCATTCTTTTGACAGTTCTTATTTACTGTAATACGTCCTGAAAGGCGATCACCACTGGTGAAAATGTTGCTTTTGTTTAAGGGAAAACATCCCACTATAAAGCTCTTAACACTACTTGACATGATACACAAGCAAAGGTTTGAGCGCAAGTGCCAGGTGAGATACAGTAGTGAAGACAGATTTTAGATAATGCGAGGGGGGTCTCTGCAGATAGATATGTTGATTTTGGTAATCATTAAAACACATGACTTGAGCAAATCTTGCTTACTGGCTAGGAG